CACACCGCTGAAGGACAATAGATGGTTGTTGTGTTTCACAATCACAAGCGACAATCAAGGTAAGAAAAGACTGAGAGCTCAGAAGCCAGGCGTTATTCATTAAAAACGTTGACAGCGTGAGCTCAAACGAGAAAAAGTGATTTACACACTCACGATGAAACGCTTTGAGAAGACAGAGAAAATATATATTGTGGCCTGAAGATTCGGCTATTCCGGAAATTAGTACTGCCGTAAGCAAACAGCTAAGGCAACCGTTCACCATTATCTTCACCTACCGAGTCCAGTCCATGTCGACCACCTAACTGAATCTTAGATGTGCTACGCCTGTCCACTTAGCATTCTGGCACGTGCGAACCGACCGTGAAATCTGGTGGAAGGGAGAACCAACGAAATGGAGTAGGCCCAAAGACTATTTTTGTTGGTCCGCGCGTCCGGTTCCCGAAACCTGCTGTGGATGAGAAGGGAGTAACGGTCTTGAATAAAAAAGCGCCTCAACGGGTAGGCCGAATACTTCAGATAACAAACATTGTAGCCACCAGCTGCCACTCACCTGGAGCCCATGGTTGACGTAGAAACCTGGACGGTGAACGTGGAACCCTAATTGGCCCCGGAGTTCTATGACTGCATATGTGCTCTCAAGCGCCACCAAGCTTCTGGTCTGGATGACCTGCCTCCCGTTTCGTTCAAAAAAGGGTGGAATTCTCAGTCAGCGCTGCCCGCACTTGGGAACCGGGGGGAGTCGGTGGTGGTTCCCATTTTCAAAGGGGCTCGTATACAGTGTGGGAACTACGGGGAGATCAGCTAAACCCTGGTTGTAACGAGAATGCTGACGTCACTTGTGCTTTCTGCCTTACGGTGGTTCATGGAACAATGACTCGCGAGCAGTCGTGATTCCGGCCTGGTAGGGGTTGCGCTGACCAAATCTTCATACTTCATCAGGTGCTGACGTTCCAAGGTGCATTCCACCCGGTTGACTGGTCTGTTCTCCTTGACACGCTTGACCTTCAAGAAATGCTCCGGAAGTTTGAGAAAATGATGCGTTCTTCGCATTCTGACATCTGAACGTGTGAGCATACGAACTATCCAGAAGTTTCCGTACACGAAGCGGTGTCCATCAGGGATGCCCGTTCTCTCAATTTTTATTTAATTCAGTGATCAATGAGATAATGAGACAAACGCTGAAGGTCTTCAAATAGCCTCTCACGAAAACTTCCTCGATCTGAAATATGTAGATGATATTGATTTCGTTTTTGAATAGAACAAGTCTTTTTTGGGTGAACGGACCAAGGTCATCCTTACCGTCCTTTGGTACGCACTTTGCATCCACAGAGTGTAGGGTCGTGTTTGCGGACATGCAGTCAATGAACAAGCCACTTACAATCCAGGGAGAGGTACTCAAAGTTGCAGAGCGTTTTACGTACCTTGGAAGTCGTATTAATTCTGACTGTAATATGACGGATGAGGTCAATACGCGAATCCGCAAAGCTCGGGTTGTGTTCGCTAACTTGAGATATCTATGGCATCAAAGCTGCATATCCCTGAATCTCAAAGGACGTGTGTATCCGGCTGCAGTGCGGGCTGTTTCGTTGGATGGGTGTGAGACTTGACTTGCTTGAGCAGCGGAACTGAGACGCCTTCAGGTGTTCAACAATCGTCGTCTCAAGACCATAGCTCGTGTAGGTTGGTGTCGGGGAATCCGCAGTGAAGCAACTAGGAAGCATGTTTTCGGTTGCGCAACAGAAACTTCCATCGAATAATGTGCCAAAAACCAGATGCGTTGGTTAGGCCATGTATTCCGAATGTCGAACCATTGTTTGCCGAAAAGTGTCGTTTTCCGCGCCCAATCCGAAGTGACGGAAGCAGAGATGTGGCCAACCCTTCATCTGTCAGAGGGGTATGAAAGGGGTTACGAAACGTCTGGGTGCTGTCAGCACTACTAGCCTACCAGGATGGGGACCGCGAGATCCCCGCTGTACCTGACTGGAGACGCTGTAGGATACGGCTGCTACTCGATGTCAATAGTGTTTTTGTCAGTTTCTCTTCGAATGGCCTGAATTAGTGTCTGGAGGTGTATGCATCTCGGAATGACTGTAGTAAGGTAGCAGTAAGTCCGCCCTCTATCCACCTTTATTCTTTTTTTATAAGGCTTTCAAAAATAATGGAGACTGTACAGCAACGAAGCATCAGTTTTGAACCCCAATGTCATGCTGTTGTTGATGATATTAATGAAGTGGGGGGACGGAGAGAAAAGTATGTGAAAGAAGGAAGGAGACAGCAGTTGCATGTTTACGCAAGTAACGGCCCCACGCGACAGCCGATATGGCATGAGTTATTTGTATATTAGCAGTTCACGGCTATATGTAGGCAGAGACACTGCTAAGGCATCCTTACGTGGACAGTAGGACGATTAGGTTCCTCAGCAGAGGTGTTTGGCCCGGAAGCTTGGTGTTTGGCGGTAAATGCAAACGTATTTCAATTTTTACAGAACAAGTCGCCGAACATTTTCCAACCCCCAACCTGGAGGACCAGGAGATTCATCAGACTTCTAACCGGTACGAGAGTGAGTGTCGCGCGGATACGGTCCAGTATAGCTCTATGGGTCTCGGAGGTGCATGAACCGGCAGACCACGACAGCTTAACCCACAACCTTCGTGTTCATTGACTTCGAGGGCGGTCAGTGTTTTGACTACACTTGCTCAACAGGATGCGCCCCAGGAATTTACGAACTTTGTGCGGTTCGTATGTTCACATACTTCTGCCGAATGCACCACAAAAAGTGGTGCCCCGAAAGTATGTCCACTCTTCAAATTCTTGTACAACTTCGTCATCGATGAGATGAACCTAACGCTGGAAGATTTTCAAGATCCCGTTGTCCAAATCTGGAGTACACAGATGACATAATAATCTTTGAAGAAGGCCAAGCACAAGGCCTGTTGAATAAAGTGACCATCAGCATACCATCTTTTGGTGTGCGCCATGGACGCTCCCTTCTATTCAATGGAGGGTAGTTTTGTATCAGTTATACACTGCAGGTACCAGGTAAAGTGTGGCTCCTCAGAACTTGATTTCGTCAGCAACCGCTGACATGTTGTATTGGGGACTGCCATAGATCGCAGATGACAAGTAACACCGGCGGTCCCAACAGAGCCTGTGTTAATCTGTAGGATTGCGACAAATGTCCTGACACAGAACTGTAAAACAGCCTCCCTGGACGCCCTTTGGGGAGCATTGGCGTGCTTTTTACACAGGAGAACCAACGGCTCCACAAAAGGCGATGCCCTGCAGATGCCTTCAATATGGACCGGGTTGGCTTAATACCTCCGCCCAATCAAGGAGGAACAACTTTTTCACATAGGTACCGACATGTTATTTGGCAAACCCGTTAGGGCGCTCATTCTGAAGTTTAGCAATGATGAATCTTCGTCATGTCTCTGAATATCCACGCGCGACCGCAGCCGTAGCGATTGGGATGAAATCAATATACTTTTCGGATCGCCCGCAACATCAGAATGATCGAAACTGCCACAGGACATATCCGCATATCATACGATTGTCGGAACTATGCGACACAACACGACTGTGTTTATCCGAACCTCAAGTTTCAGTTCCAAATGAATTAGAATCATCACGCATATAAGAATCATATATTTAGGAGCAAAAGAAAAATTCTGTGTACACTCCATCGAGAAGAAAATGCGAATATCATTCCATGTACGCCCTTCGTCCTCTAGTGGAATAGCTGACTTTCGGGACCAGAGCGTAGATATCCTCACAGAAGCATAGATCAGATAAATGCCCATCCAAATTACGTTTGAAAATTTGAACTGTTTCTGACTGAACGACATTTGCCGATAAACGATTCCAAAATGACACAACGCGGCGAGAGAAACTGTACCCATGAGGCACATTGTCCATGCGTGTGACAGTAAGTTTAAATCGATGTCCTCGGGTGATGTTGGTTGTTGGAATGTCAAACACGAACATCAACTGCGGAAAATGGTTTAGGCACAAAACACGGAAAACATAGATGAGATCAATCCGGAGACGTCTGTATTCAAGTGTGAACAATTTCAGTTTGCTGCATCTCTCAGAATAAGAAAGACTCCGCAGACTGGGAACCATCTTTGTAACGAGGTGTTGGACACGTTCGAGCTTTCGGGCTTCGTCTTTCGTAAGTGGGGAGAAAGCTGGTGCACCATATTCCAATATAGGCCGGATCATGGTGGGATACAGTTTTAAAACTAACTCTTCCGTCCACACCGAAAAACTTCGCTTTAATGCTCACAAAATGCGAAGAGACTTCTTATACACAGCGCTCGTGTGGTCCTTCGACTTTAAATCATAACGGATTTGAACGCCCAAGTCTCGGATTGATGAGACTGGTTTCGATTTTTAGCCATCTAGATGATATACACGATCTGAAGTTGGCTTTCCCAGGCATATGTATTCTGATTTGGCCGGGTTGATCGAAGGTTTCCTTTCAGAGGACTGGGCCACCAGACGTTCTAAATCATGCTGAAGAGCCACTCGGTCTTCGTCACACTCAATAGGTTTCCATATCATAAGATCATCAGCGAATAACAGACTTGCCGACTGTAAGACCACTGGTAGATCATTCTCATGTAGTAGAAACAGAACTGGACCCAAAACCGTTCCCTGAGGTACGCCACTAGGTGACGTATACCAGTGTGTACAGTGGTCGTTTACTCTCACCTTCCAGCGTCGGTCATGCAGGAACGATTTGAGCCAACGAAGTAAATCCCCTCCTATACCGTAGCCCTGTAGCTTTTTCATCAGTTCAGTGTGGCCTACCCTATCGAACGCTTTACTAAAGTCCACGAATATAACATCAACAGCATGCCCTGGCTCTGCATTCTAATATAACCATCATAACACTGGGATTTCCTGATATATCCATCATTTACGAGAAAGAAAGAGTAGAGTACCCTTATATCCTGATGCCTCAGCCGGAAATTAGATTACTGAAGTGGTGGACTCACCCATAAACCATTTGGAAATGCACTAACGTGCCCCGACATTCGTCAGCTAAAAAATGTCCAAAAAAATGAGGCCGAAATTCGCGGTCCCAATGCCTGGCTGAACGGACAAACAACGAGTGAGATGCCTATGCGTGGAGGTGAATATGAAATTCACTCAACTGACGGTGTTTAGCGTATTTTCGGTGGCGCTGTCCTGAGTGAAGTAAAAAGTCGCGTCTTATGAACTAATAATACAAGGAGTTGGCTGTTTATCCGTTCAGGAAAGGACAGTACGGAGCTGGACGGGTCCACTGGACGAATAGGTGAGCCGAACGATGCCTCCAATTCAGTGCAAGGGCTGGCGTACAGAACTGCTAAAAGGGAGTCAATGCATCCCACCGGTCGATCATCTGCTAAAATTGATAATAGAAGCTTCCCACAGCAACTTACTTTCGGTCCCCATGGTCGCATATTACTGCTCGCCTAATGCATTTCCGTGTGACCATACGAACAATGCAGGGGCAGTCAGGGAGAAGACTGAAAATGTTGTTAAAAGACGGTGAAGATGAAGGATCTGTGGAAAGGGGAAATAATATTCCATGGCTTTCCTTCCGGAACGAAAAACACAGAAAACAAGATGCACAGTCTGTGGAACTGGGGTAGTACCTCGAACACAATACTTCACTTGTTATCGAATCGGAGCTTGTGTAAGGTAGTTGTTGATGGTGCTTCATCCCAGAAGTTCGCTGATCCAGTCGAGATTAACTTAGACCATAATCGGGACTTAGCTTCCCCCTTTTTCAATGGAATGGGTTCTTGGCTTCCCTCAACTTCCCGGAGAGTGAATAAAGTTTTATCGCACTATAACGTTTTCGGCCATGCGGACCGCCTGGTGATGTGACTTTTCACTTAACTCATCAGATTCATGTCTTTCACAGAACACGCGTCATGTGTGCATGTGGTACTTTGGATGTGGCCAGAACAAAGTTGTGGAGCTCAGCATAAGCACCTCGTATCCTAAGGAGGTGACAGATTGTTTGGCATATTAAAGGACACCGCTTTTGTTCGTTGTCACCGCAACGCACCGCACATCAAGCTCGTAGCACTTGGTACCTTATGTCCATAATTGACGTTTATCTTCCATCCTAAGCGGAAGCATGGCTCATTAAAAACATCTTTTGGTGCGTTCAAAGTGAAGTAAAGCTCGGTTGATTGATCAAAAGGAGTTCTTAGCTTACTTTATAGCTGAATCTCACCACAGGGGCACAACACCGACTTCTCAAGTCTACAGTGGGATCGTTTACGGGCATGAAGAACAATGACGTTTCAGGGACTGATTTTTGTGGTGTCCCGATGATCACCACCGCTTCCAAGCTTGACCCCTCCACTGGCACTTGAAAACCGCAATTCAAGTAAAATGTCGCCGTTCATGCTCGAATAGTGAAACATATCCCGAAACGCTGTCGTTCCTAAAGTAGCGTACGGGACAGTGGCTTTCCGGGAGTCCAAATTATATCCTTCTGCTCACTGACATCCCTCTAGCACGAGAGTCGTTGCTGAGTAAATACGTTCTCTCACATATTTACGGATGGATGCGCAATATCGAAGCTTCTGCAGCCTCTCGTGTCGCTTTGTTCTTTTCGTCTGGCGGTTTCCGTTCATCGGGAAGTCATAAACGAGAGAAGGATGTAGCTTTGCTTTTCAATTTTTCAGCACCCACTAGTAAGCTTGCTAGCTCCAGGGTAAAGACTTTCCTAGCCTTTGAAGTACGCAAGCCACTGTTTCCATGGTTCACCTTCCGTTTAGCAACTCGACAATCGGTTATCACACGGATGACCAGTATTGTGAAAACACAAAGATCCGTTTTACTCCTATCTGATCAGTGGAAAATATATGAATAGAACGTACGCATTTTGCTGATAGGGCGAACCAAATTCCCCGTTTTCACGTCTCGGTAAAACTATCGTGCTGCACGATGAACTCTAACTGGGAAAACTTAATACACAACTTGCGATTTCGGTTGGTTTAGAATACCGCGTTCGGGTCTTTATTGTGCGGTAAGTTCGCAGAGCCATGGTTCATTCATTTCAAAATCAGTCAGCTCCCTTATCCATGAGCTGGCTTGGTGGTTCTTTCCAGTTTCTAAAGTCAGTAGACCGCCTTGTGCATTACTAGCTTCTTACTCAGTAATGTGAGTGTTTTCCGATTTTTGCTGTCCCTGATGGCGATCTCTGCCTGGACTGCCCGTCAGTAATTTTTCAGGAGACTGTACAACTCCCCGCCCATCTAAACATTATTACAGAGTACTCCAAGTTACTTAACATAAGTAACTAAACCGCTAACAGACGAAGAAAAGCACGATGAAAAGCTGCAGCAGCCCGGTGGTCCTCTGCTATCGCATGCACAAAAACTGAACAAAAATTCCGGCCAATCCATTCGTTTTCTGAACGCGTTCTGCCCTGTGACATTCTCACCGACTGTGCTCACAGTATTATGTGTGCTTGTTTTGAGTCTCAGGCTACCCGCACTCTTGTAGACTGGCTGTCATCCGTTTTGTCGCTTCGATTCCGGTTCCTTTGTTCCACCATTAGTTTCCCAGCTGGATGTTCCAATGTTGGTTAGTTGCAAGCAGACAGTCAGCAGCCGCTTGTTCGAAAAAATGCGCTTCTCGCTTGTGATAATGTGGTCCTAAGTTGGCTTTCTGTGTGGCCTATAGGATTAAGTTTATCAATGGGCATGGATGTTCCAATGTTGGTTAGTTGCAAGCAGACAGTCAGCAGCCGCTTGTTCGAAAAAATGCGCTTCTCGCTTGTGATAATGTGGTCCTAAGTTGGCTTTCTGTGTGGCCTATAGGATTAAGTTTATCAATGGGCATGGCTTATCTGAAGCCCCATATATATCGTTTTGTTATTATTATATTGAAAAATCCACTTCAAATTCAAATCAAGTGATTTTATGATACTCGCCTTTATTGCATCAGACGATGCCATCACCCATCACCATTTGGTTGGTTTTCGCTAATGGGCAACTTCTCTCTGAAAAGTTTGTTCTACTGAAAGAAGTGTGACGTGACGAACAAGTAGTTCGCGGCAGTACAGATGTTCTTCTGTCCGTGCATCTCCCCTGGCCACTGAGAAGGTTTTCGTTCGTGGCAGCCTTTCGGACTCAAAATTCAATTGGTTTTCATTCAATCATTTGCGCGGCTATTAGGTAAAAACGCACAAACAAATATCTTTGGCTACATTTTCATTTATTGTTACCATTTGTCAACGGCGTATTTTGTCTCCGTTTGCCACAACACCAAACTTGCACTGTGCCTGTCCAGTTTAGCTTCCAGTCTCCGGTAAATTGGTTCCGAAAACATCTCTTTCTTTGCAATTGTTCCCGTGGTGAATCTGTTTATTTTTCATTTCTGCCATGCGAAAGCTCACACTGGGCTCACTAACGGGCCATCAATAAAACCAACCGTGGTTGCTTATGCCGAAAATATAAGGTTTAAAGTGTAAAATTTCACATAAAGTTAGCCTTATTTGACCGCACATGCTGGTGCCACGCTGCTGATAGCCGCATTTACAAGTGTGCTGACTCCCGGGGTCACTGCGCACAGTTGTTTTGTATGAAAATACAATTAAGATAGAGAAGCGGAAATCGGAGACCCTGTAGCGTCAAAAGCTTTTGGTTGTCCGTAAATCGTGAGATGACTCACGCACGGTTACCAGGGCGTGTTTACGCTGCCTGAATAAGTGAGCAACTCTTGTGTTTTGTTTCTTCATCAAAGTGGATGAACTAGTTTACGCTGGTTCAGTGCGACACTGTTATGTGCGACGCTCGCAAAGGTTGCTCGAAATTTAATGTTACATTGAGGCAACTGTGCGCTTTTATGAATTATTTCCACCCCTGGGACGCATAAATAATCCGAGTGTGGGGCAGTTTTCCTCGACAAGTTGCATATGTATTACAACTATCCTTGGGAGAGGACTTACAAGTATAAAGCTCAACGTCGAGTAGGCCCACTTCCGTGGTAATTGTGCTTAACATAACAATCCACAAACGTGAACCCCATTGAAACAGCTTTGCAAAGGGATGCTGTTTCATTCACTTTATTCAACGAAAAGTGTATAGTGAGGAGTAGTTTCGTTTATTGGTTTCCGTAGACAGCATTCACTAAGCAGTGACACCAAACAAAGGGATGTGGCCAAATCACTTTCATACAGTACTCATTTTTCACACAGTTTCCGTTACCTAACGAACGCAGTGATCGTTCTCTGGACCGTTGTTGCGTGTACGGCCTGTGTGCGCTCTCTGGCTGCCCAAATCCAGAGCTCAGATGGCTTAGTGGCCCTCTGTCTGGCACCACGGACCGCGCTATTGTTGAATTCACTTTCTGCCCTATACATGATATTTGTTGACCCATTTATTAACCCTTAGCCGCCCAAAAAACTTAAGGGTCATTTTTCTGTTTGCGAGAGAAACTGATGTGGCTAAGATGGCATTTTTAGGTTCTGCCACGAGTACACGATCGCACTATTTTGCGAGGACAAACGTAAATTTTAGCTGCTTAAGGACGGACGTCGGCACTCGACGCGGTAACGATGGATAATCTGGGCGATAACTGTCTTTCCAAATTCATCCGTAACGTATTGCCGCGCTTCCAATGATGTCTTAAATTCCGCATAAGTTTGCGCTCCTTCAACTTGCAACTAGATCTGCGTTTGTCGATGGACAAAAAGTAGAAACGAGTACGCAGGCTCTGTGTTTGCTATACATGTGGTAAGGGGTCGTTATCGGATGCTTATAATGGCCGAGAAATGAAAACTCATTCGGACACCCATAGAAATTACTGTCCGCGAATCCCTCAGCTTTGAAGTATTCTGGAGGACAGAAAACCTTGTCAAACAAGAGCCTTGAAAGACTCTTACGGTTTTGGTCCACCTAAATAAGAAAGAGGTAACCATCGTTTGGATACTTCAAGGCATTTTCAAGCACTCAATTAAAGAAAACGTAGGAGGAACACATTTTCACAAGTCTACCGCATTTACAAACTGATCGAGTTCAAAATGTCGGCAGTTAAGAGCCTGAACGCCTTCAAAGAAGTTTTAACAA